AAGTCTTTGCTCTGTGACCCAGGCTGGAGGTGGCAGTGGTGGCATTCTCGGCCTCACTGCCAAACCTCCGCCCTCGCTGGCGTTCGAAGTGATTCTCCCTGCCTCAGCCTCCTGAAGTATAGCTGGGATTACTGGTACATGCACACACCCAGCTAATTTTTATATTTGTTAGTAGAGACAGGGTTTCACCATGTTGATCAAGGCTGGTCCCAAACTCCTGAGCCTCGTGATCGCCAGCCTAGCCTCCCAAAGTGCTGGAATTATAGGGGTGAGCCGCCGCACCTGGCCAGTGAAGCCAGTACCTACTTGTTCACCCCTTAAAAGATCAACCGGGGAATATGCAAAAGACAGTAAAAAGTTAACACATTCAACCTATAAATAGATTACGGCGTCTGACCGCGGTGGCTCAGGCCCTATAATCCAGCGCCACTTTGGGAGGCCTAGGCGGGTGGATACCTGAGGTCGGGGATGTCGAGACCAGCCTGACCAAACATGGAGAAAACTCACTCTCTACTAAGAATACAGAATTAGCTGGGGGTAGTGGCACATGCTGTGATCCCAGCTACTTGGGAGGCTGAGCAGGAGGAATCACTTGAATCCAGAAGGTGGAAGTTGCAGTGAGCCGAGATCACGACATTGCACTCCAGCCTGGGCAACAGAAAAAGGAAAACTCCCACTCTCAGAAAAAAAAAAAAAAAAAAAGATTATGGCAGTTGATGGTAAAAGCACTGTGGACAATTACAAAATATAACATAGATATATAGGATAATATAGAAATGCTAACATTCCAGAAGCTGTGTAGAGAAAATGTAAAGAATACTGGTACTGCACCCCCACCACCATTTACAAGGAATTACAGGCTGGGCATGGTGGCTCACACCTGTAATCCCAGCACTTTGGGAGGCCGAAGTGGTGCGGATCACTTGTAGGTCAGGAGTTTGAGGACCAGCCTGTTCAACCATGGTGAAACCCTGTCTCTACTAAAATATAAAACGTAGCTCGGGCATGGTGGTGCATGCCTGTAGTCCTAGCTGCTTGGAGGCTGAGGCAGGAGAATGCTCTTGGACCCTGGTGGCCGGAGGTTACACTGTGAGCTGAGATCAAACCATTTTATTGCAGCCTGGGCTACAGAGCAAGACTCTGTCTCAAAAAAAACTCAAAAAAATAGAAAAAAAGAAATTATATAATACAGTTGAAGCTCCCTGTAAGCCCCTTCTGCAGTCCCATTCCTGTCCTTTCCCTAGGAGAGTCATTGTCCTGAATTTGGTAGTTAAAAAAAAAACTGTCAATTTAGTAAAACACATTTCAAAATGTTATTCATAAATAGAACGCAGTGAGACAGACATCTTCATTCACTGCTGTTGGAAAGGAGTTGAAGCTGGAAAGCACCCTGCCCTGCCTTTCTTCACGTTCTTGGTGTTCCTGATGAAGCGCCTTTTCTACTTGGGTCAGACTGAGTGACACCAGCTTACAGCCCTCATTAGAATACCAGTTGTTTTTTGACTCCTGTGGCTCATGCCTATAATCCCAGCACTTTGGGAGGCCCAGACGGTGGATCACGAGGTCAGGAGATCAAGACCATCCTGACTGACATGGTGAAACCCCATCTCTACTTAAAAATACAAAATTAACCGGGTGTTGTTGGGCTAGGCCAGGCACAGTGGCTCACGCCTGTAATCCCAGCACTTTGGGATGCCAAGGTGGGCAGATCACCTGAGGTCAGGAGTTCAAGACCAGCCCGGCCAACATGGTGAACACCGTCTCTACTAAAAATACAAAAAAATTAGCCAGGCACAGTGGTGCCTGCCTGCAATCCCAGCTACTCCAGAGGCTGAGGCATGAGTGTCGCTTGAGCCTGGGAGGTGGAGGTTGCAGTGAGCTGAGATCGCGCCACTGTACTCCAGCCTAGGCAACAGAATGAGACCCCATCACGAAATAAATAAACAATAAAAATAAAAAAGTCTTGAAGGACACAAAACAGTATTTTCTTCTGGAAAGAGGAAATAAAGAGGTATACAAAGAGGGCATCTCAGCTGGATGCGGTACCTCACGCCTGTAATCTCAGCACTTTGGGAGGCAGAGGCAGGTGGATCAGGACGTCACCAGTTCAAGACCAGCCTGGCCAATACGGTGAAACCCCATCCCTACTAAAAATACAAAAATTAGCTGGGCGTGGTGGCATGTGCCTGTAGTTCCAGCTACTCTGGAGGCAGAGGCAGGAGAATCGCTTGAATCCAGGAGGCAGAGATTGCAGTGAACCGAGATCGCACCATTGCACTCCAGCCTGGCGACAGAACGAGACTCCATCTCAAAAAAAATTTTTTTAAATACAAAAATTAGCTGGGTGGGGTGGCGTGCACCTATAGTCCCAGCTGCCTGGGAGACTGACGCAGGAGAACCACTTGAATCCAGGAGGCGGAGGTTGCAGTGAGCCGAGATTGCACCACTGCACTCCAGCCTGGGCGACAGAGCAAGACTCCATCTCAAA